TGTTGTTGTTCTTCTTCTTTAGAGATTATGAGTTGTATGATGTAATAAAATGTTTCAGTTTTGCCTCTAACTAATGAATTATGATACAGTCATATTGTGGTATATGCTACTTATGTCTTTAGACATTAATAGTATATAACACTAATCAAAAGTGAAAAACCTTTCAGTGAAAGGCTAAGAAGATCAAGTTGAAGAAAACGGAAATGAATTGTGATTTAGAAGAATCATATAGAATGTAAAGTACAATTGATGAATAACTTGCAAATGAAATAGTTAATGTATAGTTCTTATATTTTATCAAGATATTCTGTAATTTAGTATTAAAGAATAAATTGGTTAATATCAGAAGGGGTTTTGTGGATATTATAGTAATTTCAATGGTTGAGATCATGGTCTAGTGACAAGCATTAACCAGTGGAGTTCAATCAGGTCTGTTGTGAGATAGTAACTCACTGATGACAGTGGTGGATGTGTCGTTCAATTTCGTGGACTAGTTGAAGTTAAACATTAACACCGCTGGATGCCGGCTAGCTCAGTGGTCTAGTGTTTAAGCGCTTACGTGCGAGAATGATAGGTCCTCGGTTTGAATCTCGCGAGGTGCGATCGTAGATGCGCACTGGTGAAGAGTCCCATTATAGGAAGAAACGGCCGCCCAGAGCTCCCAGGTTTACCATGGTGATCTAGCTTCAATTGACTCATGATCTCAACTATTGAAATTACTACAATCTCCACAAAACCCCTTCTGATACAATTGAAATATTTTAAAAAAAGTTATTCAATAAATAAAGTTTTCACCTTTGATGACTATCCAGAAAATTTTAAACAGACTGATGAACAAAAATGATTCAAATAAAACTATTTTGAATTTGGTTATATTTGAAATTGCATAATTTTCTGATTGATCAAAGGGAAATAATAATTACTGCACAATTCAAATGATGTTTTCTAAATCTTTTCATAACCCGACATCAATATGGTATTTATAAGGGCTTCTCAATGTGGTTTTTCCCTATCTCTCTCTCTCTCTCTAAACAACTACTCAGTAAATATTATTATTATCTGATCCATAGATGACATGAAATGTGTTAAATATTAAATTGAATCGTGTACTTATTGTTGAAATATATGCGTACAGTTGTTGTCAAACTGTTAAATGGATAAAATATTTCAGAATATACAAGTACTTTTACATCTATTTATAGTACAAAGGTGTATAATAATAATAATAATAATAATAATAATAATAAAAAGTTATTTTTGTTAATATTGGCAAGAGAGGGAAATTTGTTTTTCTCGCTCTATCAATTTCAATACATTAGGCAGGGTGTGACCAGTAAATAGATCAATCTGTATAGAATAGATTCTATAAATTACACTAATCTTTGTATAAAACTTTTTCAACTAGACTATGACAATCAACTCTCTGTCAACTTTTTTTAAGGTGTTCCTGAACAGCTAGTAACAAGTGATAACTAATGAAGTTCAGATATGTCAGGAGTGAACTAATCGTAATCAACTGCAATGAATGATCATCGTTGATTGAATTTGAAATTGCACCATAAAACCCATTAAACTAGTAGTTCTAATTGTTAGGCGTCTGTTACAAAACCTGAAAGTTATAAGTTCAGCCAAACAGGGTGCTATGAATGCATACTTCTAAGAAGTTCCATTATTAGGACAAATCAGATGTTCAGTGCTTCCATGTTTGTACTGATATAACATGTGAGATAAATCAATATGATTGTAAAGGATCCTCCTATTCTGACCCAAACTATAGATCACAACTTCCAATCCTAATCTTTATATTTTGTTTAAGATTTTTATGTAATAAATTATTCCTTCATATCATCTGCATCCTAGATGACTTAAAATTGGCTTCATTGTCTCAAGATCATTCTACGATCCGCCAAAGGTCGTCAGTAAAGTATATTTATGCTAGAATAATTATAAAATTTTACAATAAATATGTCTTCGAATTCTACTTCAATATATTTTTCAAGACAGTACTAGATATATAGTTATATCAAGTTCGTTATTTTTGCGGGACCACGGTAGGAAACTTGGATAATGAAACTTTTCTGGAAACCTTTGCTTTTCTGTCATTTCTTTTTTCGATACATACAATATCGTCCATAATAATATTATTCTCGATAAAAAATATCGAATAAAGTCTGAAATAATTGGCCATGATATTTAGGTTTTAATTTGAGTCGGTAGAACGATGGAGATAGACGGCACTATATTTTTCTGAACCAAAGTTTCGTGCAAGTTGGCAGTCGTCGGAAAAGTATTCCTGAAAACTTGTGGAGCTCAAACTTCCGGCATCTAGTTTCATAATCTGTTACGTTGCCGCTGGGATCTCCTGGCCTTTTGTTACGTAACAGGGGAGTTATCTTCCTCAGAAAAAATCAAAGTAATAGTTGGTTGGAAGAATAATGAAAACCTTCATATCAATGATCATACCTCGTAGTTTATGTAATGATCTAGTAATCTATCTTATATACATTAAATAATATATATAGGAAAATATAATTTATCTACACCCAGCTGATCAGCTGCCCCCTAGAAAAGCATTTATGTTGATGATGAGTTTTCCCGTCACATGGTGTTTGATAAATTTGTTATGATGACTTTCTTGGTCCTCTCGGAAATAACTTTGTGGTAGTTAAATCTATTGTCTTTATACATGTTAATAATAGTTTGGTTTGGAACATGATAGTTCTCGATTCGATGATCGTATCAAACTTCATATCTAACAGTATGTCAGTATCTATTGTTCAACTGTTGCTTCTAGAACCAAAGGTGCACGATTTCATAAATATTCGCATTTGACTCTTACTTTCCCTCTCCGACAAAAGATGCATCAGCAGTTCGTAAATCATTGGGTATTCCAAAGATTTGCAAGATGCATTCATTTGAATCATTCACATACTTATAAAGAAACTCGATTTCCTAATAAACTACGTCTTTGTGCAGCCACTATGGGTGGTTTTCATGAAAAATTATGATTTCAGAAAGTGTATATCTCAATATAAAGTGATCGTTCGTTATTTCATTTTATAATTGACTGATCATTAATCCATAAATCCATATGTTCTGTATTAAGGGAGCATGTTAATTAGACAATCTTTTTGGTTAGTGAATGGCCTAAAAGAACAGATAAATATTTTGTATACCCGTGTGTAATTCGACTATACAGAACGACTTATATTTTGGTGACGAGATCTTTCTCGCTGTCTATAGGAACAGTACATCGATGATTCGAATTTTGTAGGGACTCATCACTGTCATCCAAATACGTTATCATCCAGTTGCACAGTAGGACAAGAAAGTAGTTCATATAGTTTAGAACATATAGGCCATACTAGTTTCATTGCTTTAATAGAATTCCTCTACACTGTAGACAGACTATCTTTATTCCTTCTGTTGTATCGTGTCTACGCATGTAAGTGTTCAAGATTTCAATTTCCTAAAAACTTATATCTCAGTAGCGATATCGAGACAATACACACTGGATTTACATACGAAAATAGGGACTGATCAATTACAGTCGATTATATCAATAAAGGGTAAGTAAAATCCTTTACAAATAAATTCATACCTGCTGAACAAGTCAATAACTATCTGAACTCAATGGCTGAATTTGAATCTCGTTTTAAACATTACGATACTGAATACAGGAATACTTAGCTGGTGAGTCTCAAATGAGATGAAACGGGTGTCCTAGATTCTACTGTAACCATAAACCAAGTATACAACACACATGTATATATTTATATTCAAATGTTAATGACTCATAAATCCTACCTTAAGGTCCCAATGATGAAGAGAATTATGTTTTATCCACTGTAATGGAAAAGCTAATAAAAGAATGAGTAATTTGTACAAATGATGAGGCAAATTTTAGTGAACTATAAATATTACTACTACTAGCCCTGTGCATTCATGAAGGAGTTAGTGCGTTCATGTGCACTAAATTTATCTTTCCAAAACCGACGGCACTTTAATTATATATATATATATATATATATATATATATATATATATATATATCATAGGTTAACATTATAGGCTCATTTATCTATTCACATAGATAACCTGATCAACTGTTGTTTCTTTATCCAATCAACCAGTATATTAGAGAACAAAAGTAACTGACGAATGCTTCTCTACCATGCATACATACTCGCCAAAAACATAATATAACGGCATTTATTTTATCTCATTCCTTTTTTCTCAGTATGAAAGTTGGTGAACGGACATCTCTAGCCAACATATATATATATATATATATATATATATATATATATAGTTCGGTTGATTTGGTGAAGTGTGTATTTTTCAAAATAGAATAGAAATAATTTTGGGAAATAGTTGGCATGATTTTTTAAAAGACTCATACAATATATATAATGTATGTATTTGTGTTAGTATATATATGTGTATAAGTATATATGGCGTGTGCACACACAGAAAATAACACACATCTCATTAATACTCGTTTGTACATAATTGTCATATTCACACATCTGAAAGTATGTTAATAATAATTATATGTGGAACAATATAATCATTATCATTCCTGAGTCAATTGATAAATGTCATTGTGAGTCAAGTCTACTGATTTCCCGAACTTGTATATACGTAAGTGCATATATACGTCTCTCTCTCTCTCTCACTTTCTCTCCATGTATATATGTGTATGTGTTTACAACCAACAAGTAACCAGGTTAATGAATACTGACTGGATGATTTGTAATTCATTTGTGATTAGACATATCAAAAGATAAATTACTTAAAAGCAACTAACACTATTCTTTTGTTTGGAATTAAAAATAGATATACCTCACTTTTATGTACCACTTAATACACCATTGAATAAGTGTAAAAAAAAAATTAAGAATATGTCTAATTCATGAATAACATGATAATTTTTTTCTTTTCTTTTCTTTTCTTCTTTTTTGCTCTTCATAGAAATTCTCTTTATAATTTTGAATTGTTCAATTCCTGGGAATAAAATGACATTGAAACAAATCAACTTTATTCCATTCTTCTTTGAAATAACACTGTTCTTTAATCAATATAAATTATGTACATATTTTACATTCATTATTTCATAATCATTTCAATGTTTACAATAGTTCATTCAATCTTTTTAACAAGTATATTACATTACTTTATAATAACAGCTGATGAAAGTCGACCAAACGACAATCATAATAAGAATGTATATAATAGTAATAATAATAATAATAAATGTATTATTATAGAAGAAATCTTGATTAGTACATTTGTATGTGATTTAATGTTTCTTTATGATCATTATACACCGAAAAATACATCAAAGACTTCACTGATATTAAATATCTTAAATGAAAATCAACATTTTCAAATTATTGATAATCATCAATTAGTAACAAGAGGACGTATTGATCGTGAATATTATGTATTTGAAAAATTATGCCAAAATATTCAAAAGAATAATAATATGATAATGAATTTTGACGAGGATTATTCCTTATTAAATGAAGGTGAGTTTTTTCTTGTTGTTGTTGTTGTTGTGTTTAATTTGTTTTTTGTATGTGTTTCCATGCTTGTGTGCGTGTGTGTGTGTTGACAAACTGAACTTTAATTTCATATTATGATTTGTATAAGGAAAACATTTTTTTCCTGATGAGTAGGTGAGAAAATGTAATATCTTGGGGATTTGGGTTAACCAGCCATTTGTTTTTATTATTGAAGTAATGTGTAATATTTGACAATATGAAACATTTTATCTGTTCAGTAAATGGAGATAAGTAATACATATTAGAGATTTTATTTTGAGCCTTTAATCTCATTATATTTGAGTTTTTTACTCACCATGTTTGGCTATGCTACATTGACATGTTCATAACACATTGTTGTTGTATACCTCCAAACTTTAATGAGAATTACACTAGGATCTGCAATACTCACCAATTAAATGAGTAGAAATGTAGTCATAAGTATTGGATATAACTCATTATTTTAACACTGATAACGTGACAGTTAGCTTCGATTTTCTTAGGATGTTTGGTCACCAACTACTATTTAAAAAACCCTTTTGATTACTCGAAGAGCAGAGATTGTTATATTATACCTTATAGTGAGTTTTTGATAATGTAATGAGCTGTTGGTAATGTATAGATGGCTTAGGAGTGTGTATAGTGCATGCTTTTTAAGGAAAACAATGTACACCAATTATGCATTAAAAATGAATTAATTAAAACACATGCCTCTATAAGCAGAAATGATGGTGGCTATCAATGCTTGTGACTTTAGGCAATATCGAGGCAATCCGCACATAATGCACATATGCCAATAAGAGACTGATCAATTGTAGTCATAAACTTAAACGTGAAGATTCAAACAACAAATACAAAAATGAACATGTATCTATAATTATGAAAAAACTAGGAATTCATAAAGCTACTGATGATCAGTCTAATTTTCTTTGAAAATTGGAAGAGTTGGACAGATGTAGAATAGTTTATCGGAAACCTTGAACTTATGTTTTATGTTTTCTCGACACCCAACGGATAGATGTATCGGTAATGTAAAAAAGATTTGATGCCATTTATGGATTTTTATTCCGCATCCTAAGTGACTTGATATTCCGTGCACTTTACCTCGATGTTAATTAATTAGACACAATCTGTGAAACGGCTTAAATAGCTCAGCAACTCTTTGATAATTACATCATTTACTAAATATCTCAAATAACATATTTAACTTCAGAGAAACACAAAGGGATACAAACTTTTCATTTGAATTTTTACAAATTTTCATTGTGTAACACTCTTTAACCCTCCTCTCTTTACTATTTTCCTATCGACTGTGTGTCATCAGTTGGACTCTTCTTCGAATGTTACAGTTTTTTAACACCATTTTCACACTCTGTTTTATTTGACTAGTTGAAAACTATTTGAATTATTAAATAACTTGATAATGAAAAGACAAATAGACTTGCAAAAAATTTCTTGAGTAACACTGTAATCTACTTATCACATATATACTATTAGAACAATACATATAAGCAAACAATACTGTTTCTAATTAGATCTTCATAAGGCTTTATTGTAATATACGTGAATAAAAGACATTTTACGCAGTTGATTTTACAGTGATGGTTTCTTTTGAACCAATGATTTGTATTTAAACAAAAGATAAAGTATCTGAGTTTACTTCTTCAATGTGAACCTACCAAGGAATAAGAGAACATCTTCTTGTGTGGTTTTGAAAGGGTAAAGTTAAAAATAAACATAGCTCTGTCTAAACAAACCTGATTAGCAATGGTCATATGATTCCTTTTGCCCAGAGGATTTCAGGTTAGGGCTTGTTTTGCGATGCATTTTCTTCAAGGTGTGTCCTATCCACCAAGAGAGTGGTGGTGGAATCTAGTTTGTTCTCTGCCACAATAGGTCGTTGCTGATGACGTCAGGCCAACGGATCTGGAATATCTTGTATAGACGAATGTTTATAAGCACTTGTATCCTTTTGGTGATGGTTGTAATGATCTATCATTTGCCTTCATTATTTCCGAATAGAGATCGATCCTGTCTACTACATATCACAAAGATTTGAACCTATGACCCTATTTTATATCTTCCGTTCACATACTTCACTATGTGGTCATTTACACATTTATTGTGTGATTCTAATTAGTTTTATCAAACTTTGACTTACATATTGTGTGGAACTATTGATTGAAACTTGATATTTTACTGTTCTTGTCGCTACTAGTACACTTGTTTTCTTATTATCAGCTTGTACATTTTACCACTTATGCGTAGTTATGCAATCTATTTCACTTTGGTCATAAACCCATAAACTGGCTGGATTGATTTAATAATCCCGTACATATAGAGTGAAGCCTGATAAATATCAACTTGAAAACTCTATAATTAGTTTATATGGATTGTATTAACTTTCACAATAAGGATCGTCAACGACATACCAATGGTTTTTTATAAAAGTAATTATCATATTTAGAGAATCTTTATGTTTATCTTAATGTTTTCATCACGCTATGCTGATGTTCTTTCACAACTCAAATCATAGCACATTCTCCCAGGGCCCCACGTTGCTTGTAACTGATAAACAGACTGAGCGACTGGCTGACTGATTTCTTAAATTGTGCAGTAAATTCAATCTGATTATTTTCTTTTACTTTGAATGATTCATATCAAATCATTGGACTGTTTTTCTTTCTCCATTTGTAAGTATAAAATCGTCACCCTTTTCTTGGAATATAACAATGGAATAACGACTCTGATTTCAATCAAACAAACATTATCCATATGTTAGTCGTGTACAAGTTTTATATTCACTGCATACCTACATACTACTTATGAAAGTTTTAAGCAACTCGTCAGTTCCAATGTGTGTTTGATGATATGATGATAACGATAATAATAAATATCATTTCATAGCAATCCTGAATCGATCTAAGTTAGATCACCATTAAAAATCCGGAATCACTGGACGTCCATTTCATCATAGTATGTGACTACTCAGCAGTACGCATCCACGATTCCATATGTTGAAATTGAATCCCGGACACTCAGTCTCGCCCACAAATACCTAAAATTTGGACCATTGAGTTGTTATTCAACGGTGTTAATGCCTAACTTCAATAAATTCAATCCTTTCAATAATTTTTGAGTTCATTTGACAAGTAGATACTACATACTGGAGTGTACTTTATATTAAACATTTATTCAGTCTTTATGATCACTATGTTTGTGTTTATTTGACATGTTATCTACGCTACATTGACATTTTCACAGAAGACAAATGCACATTACTTCATGCACCTGAAGTGAAATTCCCAGTGGAAATATCATTTTACTATACAACCTTTATCCATTAAATAGATGAAAATGTGGTTGAAGGTTCCGAAAACAATACAGAAATTAAACATCGAAGATATTGAGGATAATATCGGCCGTCAGACTCAAGCCTCATTCGGAATCTTACTATATTACTGTTGGATTTACCACAGAAGGAGGGTGAGAGATGAATCATCTGTTTTATTAAGTGAGAATTGCATAAAAATTGACTTAAGCAAAATAATGTTACTCATTCACTTTGAGCTCAGTGATCTGATGCCATGATACTTACCGCTGAAGTGGAAAGTCTTAAGTTTATCTTTGTGATATGTTTTGATTTTGAACTGCTGTTGAGATGTGGATGGTGGTGCTTAAACCCTTTGAGTACTGGTTTTCAATGGTTTTCCTGTTGATCCCAATTCATAATAGTAATTATCTTACAATGATATGAAATCTTCATAAAGATCATTAAAAGGATGATTTAAGACTTACAGACTAAAAGATAAATCACTGAATATTAAAGTGAACAATTCAAACAGGATTGTTTAGTTGTTAAATTGCTGATGAAACACATTTGCATGACAAAACTCTTATGTCAGAATGGGTTTTGTGGAGATTTTTTTAGAAATTTCACGAGTTGAAATCATGAGTCAGTGGGATGCGCACTGCTGAGGAGTCCCATACCTGGACGAAACGGCCGTCCAGTGCTTCCAGGTTTTCCATGGTGATCTAGCTTCAATTGACCCATGATTTCAACTTGTGAAAATTCTTATGTACTTATTAAGGATTTTTTATTAACAATGCAAGCTATATCTTTGATGACTGAAAAAAATTTGTTAAAGTACTCTATTAACTAATATGGTAAGTAATTTTAAAACATTAATGAAAACAAAACAAAACATTATGCTATATAGTTTTACAGAAAGCATAAATGATATCCGCTGACACGCTGACCAAAGTACTATTCGATCGAAGTACTAATCATATACAACATTGATTCTTTCCAAATGTCTTGGCTATAAAACTCACATTTTTCACAATAAGTAATTTCATAATTTAATCAGTTAGTTATAACTATTGGTTGTAGATGTTTAATTTTATGATACAATAAGCTTGTATTTACACAGTAATTAATATGAAGTACGAATCAGTTCACTTTATACAAATCTCACTGCTGAACAATATAAATAATTCATAGAAAAATCAGTGTATTCAGGGATTGTTTTGATCGAGTTTCGGTGTCAAATAAATCCACATTTATCATCTTTGTGTTCTGCCTTACGTTGTGCAGTTCACAGTGTTATGACTAATAGTCACCTAATAATATTACATGATAAACTATCAATCAAAATAACGATTTCTATGACTTTGCTCTTGAGTTAACCACTCAAATGCTAGCCAGCTTTGATTCATTGCTAACTCTTTGTTGATTTTCGATTTAGCAGTTTCTCTTCTTACTCTATCCGTTGAGTATAGAACACAGTAATAAGCCTCATCTATACTAATATTAGATTTCATGCATACGTAATTTATATACAGAAATACCTTATCGCATCACACCATAAAATGTAAAATAACAATTACACATGATCAAGCCAAAAATTGGCTGCGAGTAAGGGTAACTTTAAGTGATAATTTGAAAATAGATTAAGAATAATAAATTACGAAACAGTAATTAATGGGTTAAAAGAAAACTCGTGATAAAGGATATATATATATATATATATATAATAGGCCATAAATTAGTCCTGGAAGTTTCCATTCATTTAGTTTTCGTTTAGACATAACACATAGATCCTAGTAGCAATTGACAGTTCTCCGAAGTTGTAGCAATCTTAACACTTCATCATTCTCACTCACCTTCTCCTGCTCTTCCTTTCTCTCTCTCTTTGCGTCTCCCACTTCCTTATCTTCTTAAGAATACTAGTGAAATATTACTATTATGGATTTTTATATTCATTTTATCATTTCTCATTACATCACAGTTCAGTTTGTTATTCATTTGAATTCTACTTCAATGTTAAATCTAAACTGTTGTCTAATTTCGTAAATTAAGTGACATAAAGAAATTTAAATCCATAACAAATCAAATTCACTCGGTGTTGTTTTACTTGTATCTTCCGATTGTTATTTAGGACTACCATTGACCAGTCTCATGTTGGCATATGTGCATCCTGTGCGGATGCCTCGATATAGCCTTAAGTCACAAGCCTTTTTTTAAGCAAAGATGAATAGCGATTCGCAGTGGAGTGAACATCAAGTTTGGGATGCAGGTACATCCAGCTGACAAGTTCCAAATAGGACGAAACACGCGTCTTGGATTTCACTGTTAGCCACTATCCATCTTTCATAACGAATCACTTTACAAATGTATAAAATTCTAAAGAATTTTTAATTGTTAGTTCCTGTTACTGGGATAATTAGAGAAACAATATGTTCACATCATTTAAACAAAAACATTTTTTTTTAAGAAAATGCAATATGTTGTTATTAGGTTACTAAATTAGAGAATTTCTTTTTTCTCCTTAAATTGGTTAGGATGCATAAAACTTGTTTAATTTTCTGTAATCTGTAAAAATTTTTTTCAGTTTTTTTTCTGAAAGATAAATAGTTTCTTGTCTATTAGA